CTTTCATTAATAATTTCCAATTACCACAAAATTATGTTTTAGTTAGTTTTGATGTAACATCTCTTTTTACTAATTTACCTTTAAATTTAATCATAAGTAGTGTTGAAAAACATTGGAATGAGATTTCGCAACATACTAATATTGACTTATTACATTTTAAAACACTCATCAACTTTGTTTTTGATTCTAATATTTTTATATTTAATGGTGTTTTTTATAAACAAATTTTTGGTAGCCCTATGGGATCTAGTCTTTCACCCATTCTAAGTAGCTATGTCATGGATGATGTTATTAATGATTGTATCAATAATTGCACTTTTTTCATTCCATTTATCAAAAGATATGTAGATGATCTAGTTTTGGCACTTCCTAAACACAAAATTCTTGAAACAGTCAACATTTTCAACAATCATAATCAACATATACAATTTACAGTTGAGGAAGAGGTAGATAATTCTCTACCATTCCTTGACATGAGAATTGTAAGAAATACAGACAATATGTTGAAAACTAGATGGTTCAGAAAACCCATATGTAGTAATAGATTTATAAGCTATTACTCTAATCATCCAAATAAAATGAAAATGAACCTTATAACAGGATTAAAGGAACGTGTTTTTAAAACTTTCTCATCCAGACTACCAACAAGAAGATCTTCATTTGTTAAAAAATATTTTAATTGAAAACTCTTATCCTCCTGATATGCTACATAGGATGCTTTTTTCTAATTTATTAAATATAAATAACTTAACACCATTTTTTGCTAAATCTCAAAACACTGTATCCAACAATCAAAACATATATTATCATTCACTACCTTTTATACCATCATTAACTCCTAAATTAATACAAACATTAAAGGTTATTGACAATATAAAAATAGCAACAAAGAACATCAAAACTATTTCATCTTTATATTCCAAAACTAAATATCCTATAGACAAATTAGATCAAACAAATGTAGTATACAGCATTGTTTGTACTCAGTGTGAAGCTGAGTATATTGGTGAGACTGGAAGAAATCTCTCTAATCGCATTATTTCTCACAAGAGTGATTGTAGAATTAAGAAACCATCTTGTGCTTTGGCAGAGCATGTAATAGACAAAGACCATATTATGGATTTTGATAATATTAAAATTTTATGTAATGAAAGTAATAAATTTAAAAGAACTTTTTTGGAAATGGTTTGTATTAGCAAAAGTGATAATAATTTAAACAAAAGGTCAGAAATTCAAAATTTAAGCAAAATTTATAATTATATAATTTCTATTTAATTTATGCAGTCAGTAAAATATCACATTTTGAATTTTCCATTTATTTGTTACATTTTTCCGGGCATCTATCAATGGTGAATAAATCTTCTTCTTTTTTGTTACTAAACAAAGAAGAATTTTTTAAACAAAATTTTATTTTTGACAATATGTCAAAAATAAGAATTTTTAAGTTAGTATTTATGACGTTTTAGGCTGGTTGTAGCTATTCTATATTTGTTTATAATTTCAATTTTTTTTTCTTAAGAAACTTCATCTAAATTTTTCAGAGAAACATTTGTTAGAATAGGACATTTTTTTATTAATATTTTTTGTATTTATTATGTAAGCAGTAGTTTTATATAAAAAACTAATTTTATTTGGTGAGTTAACAAAAAATTTTTTATTTCTAGTTCAACTTTGTAAGACATTTTGTATTTTTTAGAAGCTCTTGATAAAAATTGTAATCACAATTGAAAGCTCGAGTAAAAAATAGTCAACAAATAGCCCCCTTTTATTGACTCCAACCCATCAAAAAAACAGTGTTATATATATATATATATATATATATATATATATATATATATATATATATATATATATATATATATATATATATAGATATGGACCTAAAATTAGATAGTATGAAGCGAAAGATACTTAGAAAAATAATGAGAAGGTGTAATAGAACAGAAAAAGCAATGACAAATTAATACAAATATTATTATATGGAAAATCAAATATAACGATACTTGCTAAAATTAAAAGATTAAGATGTTCCGGCCACGTAAAATAAAAAAAGAAAGAATTGCCAAAGAATTAATAAACATTAAGAAAAAAAGGACACTTTTTCAACTATTCAATTGTCTGATTTTCCTGGCTGGTAAGCTTCTTACATTCCATCTTGCAAATTTATTGGTTTACATTTGTGCATTTTTAGACGTGGAATTTTATTATCTAACGAGGATTTTGCTTGCTAGCGACCTGGAAGGCCTCGTCTTTTATATGATCTTTTCCTTCCTTGCCGGAACTTGCTTTTCGGGTTCCATGATCAATAAAGGTTTGATTTTTTTTGCGCATTTGTCATGATGAATGACTAGGGATGTTCTGTTGAACCTTTAATGCAGTGGTTTCCCGTTGCCTTCTGCATTCTTCTGCTGTTGACCAATTTATTGGTTCTTCCGCCTTTGGAGTCGATTTCTCAGCTCCAGGACAAAAGAGTGTCCTACTACCTACCGGCTCATCTGCCCGAAGCCGTTGGTCGGTAAGCAGGGGATTGCTTATACCGGGAATCACTTGGTCCCTATCTGCGTTAGCCATCAACATTGATGTTGCCCACCTTCTACCACGTAGAAGTGCAGATTCGGATTTTTCCTTCATCGAGATTAATTAGGCTAATTAATAGAGGAATTTACTATGATCAAATTTACAATGCAGACGAGAGTAGTCTGTTCGGAAGAAGGCCGTAAAGTAAAACAAGACAAAATCAATTTTTGTGCCACGTTCATCTTCTACTGCAGCGCACAAACTCCATTGGTTGGCGATTTACAAGGTTACAATTCTGACTTTCAAGAATATTTGTCCATTTGTCCTTTACAGAAATTAATGAAAAAGTTAGAATCACTAGAGGATTAGTCGATGAGTCCACAAAAAATGTGATCTAAAAGCACAAATTTTTATGAAAAGATCAAACTTAAGCAAAAAAGCTTTACTCGTACTTGAAATTCCTCCATACCACTAAATGGGCAAGAACTTAGATAACAAGATGGGAAGATTTAAATAATATTGATACCACCAAACTGCACCCCTTTAAACTGTAGCCGATGCATCAAAATATCATCCAAAAAGTAAATCCGTATACACATAAAGTGCTTTTAGAATGGTGAAATACAGTACTGTCTTAAAAACTTAAAATTAAAAGATGTTGCATCCTCCCTCGCTCACCCATGGAACTATTTTACCTGACTTAATTCAAACAACGTAGAAAAACTATGACCTGTAATGAATACTCATCACAAAAAGTAGAAGAATGGGACACGGAAGACAATTTACCTATTACCGATTGGTTACAAAGTTACAAAAAGATAAGGCAATTCAAATTTTTGGTTTGGAAATGCGAAGAAACAGCAATGATGAAAGATGAAATATATAAAAAAAATATGTGGAAGAGTTTAAGTAAGAGGAAAGCCTTGAGGCAACGTTTTAACCATTAACTCCCATTGCTAAAACAAAACCATTACAATCATGAATGTGTTGCTTGTGTGAGTCCATTTCAAATAGGTAAAGAAATAATAAATAAGACTTACTCACAATTAATTTAATTTAACTATCAGACGACCGGTTTCGCTTTCTACAATATGCAAAGCATCCTCAGGTCTCGATACAAAGTTAAACAAATGCTGAAATGATAAAAAAACCCATATTAGGGTGTTGTCTAATAACGCTAAACACAGTAGATGTTGTAAATTACAATAATTATGCCAATATTACATGTCTGTGGTTTTATTTAAAACAGTAAGTTGAATAAAAAATATAAAAGTTTAAACAAACAAGGTACGGCCCACAAATTGTTATAAAATAGTCTATTATATTTTAATAAATTAATAAATGAGCAAATAAATAAATAAACATTACTTACATGCCGGTACTCTATTAATTGATGGATGGTAGAACATGGTTGAAACTACTATGTATTGTTGAATGGAGAACTCAATTCTGTTATTGCAGTTGTTTGACAGTAAACGGGAAGTTCTTGAGGACAAACAACTGCCAAACTGTCAAACTACTGTTTGACAAACTACTGTCAAACAACTGCAATAACAGAATTGAGTTCTCCATTCAACAATACATAGTAGTTTCAACCATGGTCTACCATCCATCAATTAATAGAGTACCGGCATGTAAGTAATGTATATTTATTTATTTGCTCATTTATTAATTTATTACAATCTAATAGACTATTTTATAACAATTTGTGGGCCTTACCTTGTCTGTTTAAACTTTTAAAACTTTTATACTTTTTATTCAACTTACTCTTTTAAATAAAACCACAGACATGTAATATTGGCATAATTATTGTAATTTACAACATCTACTGTGTTTATCGTTATTAGACAACACCCTAATATGGGTTTTTTATCATTTCAGCATTTGTTTAACTTTGTATCGAGACCTGAGGATGCTTTGCATATTGTAGAAAGCGAAACCGGTCGTCTGATAGTTAAATTAAATTGATTGTGAGTAAGTCTTATTTATTATTTCTTTACCATTACACATTATATTGTTTCAATACCTGTAAAATATTGGCTGAAAAAAAACGGTGTATCTCCAGAGAATTTTCTAATTTTTCTAAACTTCGAGTAACCCAAAGAAGAAAATTTGAAAGAAGGATTATAAAATTACAATAAGACACCTCAATTAAGGATTATTTTAAAATATATTACTTATTTAAAACAACGGGAGACAGAACCTGATACATGGAGGAAAGCTGTAATCGTGGTATTCTTGAAGATTACTTACTTTGTTTCTGTTCTGCCACAACTTACCTTACTTAACTATACTCGGTTAGTAATAAATAGTTCTTTGAGATTCAGGTGTCGTTAAGGTTACATTGTTGTACTTTTATTAAATTGCTTGATGAGATCCCAGATTTTTTCATCCCAGTTTTATAAGGTTTGCATTATCAAAAAAGATTATGTAGCTCGCAGTATTTCGTTATTTTTGTTAACAAAAGTAATTTTATATTTCAGCATAAAATGGAACTGCTGCCAAGTATCGCTTCGTTACAGAAAATGGGATATAAACTTTATGCAAGTTTAGGGACTGCAGATTTCTACAGTGAACATGGAGTCCAAGTAAGTATATAGGTTTTAGTGATTTTATTATCCTATGAGTTTGTATAGAAAAAGTTGATCGTTATAAAACCCAACAGAGAATTTTGGCTGATACCATTGATCTTTATATAATTCTGAGCACGCACATACAGAAGAATATGTTATAAAATAAAGCATACAATCACATAGCTTGCTGTATAACACGCTTGGCTATGTGACCTTGTCGGCTGTTTCATATTTGGACCTGGTGCTTTGTTATATTTGAGTTTACTGATCGCCAGTCCTATTTCATTTTTGAGTGTAATAGGTTCTTCTTCCATTTCTTCACGAGTTTTTTAAACAAGTTCCTGGCACTGATCATCTTTATATAGATCCCGGCAAGATAATCTCCATGTCTCTGCTATATCTTCTCCCTTGATTCTCAGGGTTCCTGTGTGGTTTTCAACCGCCCAAGATCTGCCTTTAAAGACTCTTGTTTTTTTTATATAAATAGATCTCTTGGCTGATTGTCTTGATCGTGGCTCTCAATTACTTTACATTCACAATATATTGTGATGTTGTTATTTTAAGGGTTTTATCTGTTATCCAGTGTTTATGTTTCACTGGATTATTTACCTTTGGGCGATACATAATTGTTAATAGTCTCCCATATTTCTTGTGATATACCCTTATCAATTACTCACTTTTACAGGACTTCTTAATTGGAACATTGTTATAAAGCAAACTAGAATATCAGTTTATACAAAAAATTATTAATATAAATTATAAACAATTGGTATTATATACAGTATTGTGCGAATTAATGGAATCACTGTGAATTTTTTTCATTTTTTCAATATTCACACGAAAATGTTTTGGGGATGTTTTTCATACATGGGGGTTGGATCTTTGGTGCCAATTGAAGGCATGATGAACAGCCAAAAGTACAAATCCATGTTGGAAAAGTATTTGGACAAACAGCTCCAAAAATGTCAACCCCAAGGAGGAGCGATTCTTCAACAGGACTCTGCTCCCTGTCACAAATCAAAGGAAATGATGGCATTTTTCAAAAATAAGAAGATTAATGTTTTAGATTGGCCCGGTAATTCGCCCGACCTCAACCCCATTGAGAATTTATGGGCCATTTGCAAAGCTAGACTGTGAAAAATCGACTGTACCACTAAAACAAAAATGATAGAAGCGGTCATTCAGGTTTGGTATCGAGATGAACGGATATCTGACAACTCCCAAAAACTCATAGAATCTATACCAAAACGGGTAAAAGCAGTAATTGCTGCTAAAGGGGGACATATTTCCTACTGAATGATGTAATGATGTAAAATATTTACCTTTATAGTTTTGTCAAAATATAATTTTTTACTAAATAAACTGTTTTTTTCATTAAAACAGCCTATGATTCCATTAATTTGCACAATACTGTACTTTAAATGCAATTTAAGCTTTTGCTACAAAAGTAGATCTGCCAAATATTTTTGTTAGTGATCAATAACTAATGTTATAATGGTGTAAAACTACACACTTTATAATAAATATTTTTATTGTTTTGCTATTTTTGCCAATTTTAATAGAATGGGTTTGACTGATACTTAATGAAGTGCTAAATTTTCACAATAATTTAAAAACAGATATTTCCTTGTTTTATTTATAAAGTTTCGGTTTTATAGTATTTTAACGCCTTTTAGAAGAGCTTAATGAAGGAGCGTCACTGAGTCGCGAGACGCTGAGGCTCACTGTACTATTCATCCATATTGTTTTTTATACTGCTGCGTTAGAAATATTTTTCTGGTTTATGTGTGGTTCGAACCATGAATCTAGTTAACCGCTCACTTCAAAGTAAGTCTGTCTGACCACTGAGATATCTCGCTTACGTGTTTTATTTAGACATTAATATTAAAAAAAGTTTTTACAAAAACGAAACTACTTTTGTACAAAAGAATTTGACTAGATATATACTATTACACTAATTTAAAAACTTTTACTAACCATTTTAATTACAACCTTTGGTCGAAATTTCTGAATATGAAAAATGAATATAATCTGAAGTTATTAAAATTACATATACAGCGAAATCTAAAATAAATAATAAGTTATATTACGTATAGAGATCGTATAACAGCTCGTAACGGAGCTGTTATACCATCTCTAATCCCGTCGCGGTGATGACAGGATAATTTGCTAGTTGTAGTTGTAGTTGTGTCGCGTTGAGATCACTTTGTCCGCGTTGTCAGTGCAACGTATAACTTGATATTTGTTATATGTGCAATGCATCAACTGCGCGCTCCACACGACTAGTCACGCACGCTAGCAACGCGGACTAGCTGACTGCAATATCTTTCGTGTAATTTAGACTACTAGAATTTAATTCTACTACTTGGTAGTGCTATTTTCCGGTTGGGCTCACACTAACGCGGCGCTGCTCACGCGACGCTACTAACGCGACGACATTAGCCCATAGTTATTGGCTAATGTCGTTAGCAATGTGAATTAGTATAATGAAAGAACTACTAATGAACTCAAGTATCTTCATTAATCTCGCCCCAGAAAGGCGCTCCAAAAAAATTTTATCTGAGATAATATCAAGTGATACTATACTACGTTCCACGTTTAGAAAATAACATTGCGGAGATAGGACCATGTATTTCTTATGGACGATAGAAACGCGGCGTTGCCACGACACACACAAGCACAATTTAGGGTTGTATAATTTGTATTTTCGTTTCCACAGACACGAATTAAATTAATGTTTTTTAACGTAATTGACCAAGAGTGCCCATTCGAAACAAAAGATGAAAAGTAGAGAAAATGATTTTAATTAGATAAATAGTATTTACAAAAGATAATTTTATTTTATCTTATTTTAATTATAGTAGCGACAGTTTATTTGTTTTTTCGGTGAGAATACGATATGCCATGAATCATAGAAATCAGTATAAAATATTGACCGCTTGGAATGCGTTTATCTAATTACTAATTGCAACTTAAAATAATACGATGTGCGTATGTCAGCTATTTTATGTCGTTCTCTGACTACATAATGATAATAAGGCTTTTATTTAGTAATTATTCTGATTTTACAGTTAAATGTTAATTGAAAATTAAAATTCAAAAATTAAGCAAAGGGAATATCTTGGACATCCGTGCAAAAGAGAGTGTCTGAGAGTTTTGGCAACACTGATCTCCATAAGCGTAATGTTATTTTCTTAACTTGAAACAAAGAATAGTAACCACTAAAAATTCAAACAAAAATTTAAATAAATAAAAGATTCTGCTCCCTAGGAAATCGTTTTCTAAACAATATTTTGGATTAGCCATGGACTCCTCATTATCTCTAATATTAGCAATGTATTATGGTGTAAAATAGATACGTCAACAAAGACAGAGAACTGCTAAAGACTGTTAAAAATCGAAAAATGTCTTATCTGGGACATATAGTAAGGGGGAAGTCGATATAACATTTTACAACTGATCCTTAAAGGCAAAATAGAGGGCCGTAGAGATGTAGGAAGAAAACAAGTTTCTTGGTTAAAAAACATTCGTGAATGGACTCAGATACCAAATGCAGTACAGTTATTCCATATTGCAGAAGATCGAGAAGCCTTCGCAATGGTGATCGCCAACGTCGGATAATTCTGATTAGGCACGCGAAGAAGTAGAATTATGGAAGAATTTGAAAAAAAAATTATTTCAAACATGACTAAAAACTCACAGCATGGTGGAGATGTATAGATGATGTGTTCTCCATTTAGCCCCATGAATCAGAAGAAAAGAACAAATTTTTGATGGACATTAACTGTAAAGTTCAAATTCAAAATGGAAAAAGAAAAAAAACAACTCACTTTTATTTCTGGGTGTATTAGTCACAAAGGAGAACATAGAATAAGTAACTTCTGAGTGTACCGAAAACCAACCCACTCCAACAGATACTTACATTATCACTTAAATAGCAACATGACGTGAATATCAAAAAGCTAATCATCAAATAAAGCCCAAAATACTTGCTCGAACGAAACTACACAGGAATAAAAAACCTGCTAACAAAGATATTAACAAAAAATTATCCATTGTCCTTTGTTACAAGGAGTTCCACAATATTGAAGAAAAGAAACAACAAACACCAACAACGGCCCAGAAATGCTCACAAGAAGGAAAAATGAATATCACCAGCATATACATACCATCATTTAGAATAGTATTCTAAGGCTATTACCCGATTACTTGGAAGTTTGCACAAATAATTATGGTCAATAAACTCAAACAAACCACCAAATGTTACTACCTCGTGTGGACCTATCAGCTTACTACCAGTTATGCCTAAAATCTTAGAGAAGCTTATTATCAAAAAAATCCCAGCAAATAGTCTGGTTTCCACAAAGCCAATTCAACCCTGTAATAGTGTAATAGGATTGTTAAACATATTCAAACAAGCGTCGAAAAAAAGAAAATATGCACCTCTACCTCTCTGGACGTAAACCAAACATATAATAGTCTCCTTTATAAACAAATCATTATTTCCCACACCTCACTACCTATTATTAAAATTATACAGATCGACACTTTTAAGTCAGATTCCAAAAATATTATCTCATAAAATTCGCTATCTTCAAGGAATTGTCCTTGGTCGTCTCCTGTATCTTATATTCACAGCTGCTATCCCAAAAGACAAATACTCCCACCGTTGCCATGTTTTCTGATGACACCGCCTTAATATAAATAGATGACGACTCCCTTGCCCATATAGCAGGGCAGAAATTATACAATCTACAGCCGAATCTTCTGCAAGATTATAAAATGGAAAGTTAACCATCTGCTCTATAATTACAGTGAATGATATATTACTACCAGTAAATAACCTGTCTGCAATGACACTTAATCAAAAACTGAATTGGAATGTACACAGCTCAGCAAAGAAAACGAAGATAACTCTAAGAATACAACAAATAAGTTGGTTATATAGCACTTTAATACCAAAGGATATAAAGAATTTAATCCAAGATACTTCGAATGACAAAGTATTCTTGCAC